CGGGGCTCGCCGGGGCGCGCGGGGCGGGGTGGGGGACGGTGTCCGCGCCCGGCCAGCCCCGCCAGCCGCCGGGTAGCGCCTCGCCCACCGCCCCCGGCCGTGGGCTGTGCTTTCCTCGTCCCGGGACTGGGGCGGGGAACCCCCAAAAAAGTCTCCCTGGAAAGTTTTGATCCTGGGTCACTCACTGGAGAAGGGACAACTGACGTCAGCAGTCTCCGGGGCCCTAGTGGCTCCATCCGCCAACCCTAAAGTGCGATACTTAGGCACCAAGTTTAAGGGGTTTCGAGCTGTAACTGAAGTTTGCCTAAAGATGCTTGCGATCCCTGATGCCCTGTGTTCCTTTTTGGAGGCATACATTCACTCAACAAGTATCTAGACAAGTATCTGGGACCCATACTAGGGCCCGGTGCAGTCGCCTCCGGCTCTTTACACCTCTTACAGTTTCATGGGGGAAGGCAGACGCCTGCAGAGGGGTCTTCTGTGAAAACGCAGAATTGGCCACCTTAGGCATCCTTCAGATCCCGCAGTGATTCATGCATTCCTAACTCAGCCAGGGCCCCCTACAAAAAGGTGGCAGTGTCTGCACACTGCCATCATTTAATAATTATTGAGCGGGAGAAAACAGACCCTCCGTGGTAGGGCTTACGGTGTACTGGGAGATGCGGACAGGAATCAAGTAACATTCTAATAAATACATACAAAATTACAGCTGTCTCAAGTCCCGTGAGGCATTGTTGCCCAGTGACATGTGTAGGGAGTGTGGCCCCCCTAGGGTGAGAAGCTTGTCTGCGTACCCACTGTCCAGCCTGGGGCTGCAACAGATATTAGCCCAACTGTCACATGACTGAATATATAGGTACAAACAGAATTAGTGCTTGGGGGGCAAGTAAGACATTTCTACAAGAAGCTGTAACGGGAGAACCTACTTGAAGGTGGAGGAAGACAAAAACGGGGTCAGGGATCTCTTCCCTAAGGAGTGATACTTGAACTGAAGTCCGGAGATGATTAGGAGAGGGGGTTGGAGTCCAGGGATGGCATTCCAGCCAAGGAACAGCACGTGCTAAGGAACGGAGCATGGTGCCTTCCCAGGATTGACAGGTGGAAAAGAGAGAGTGACCACATCAACTGAACAGCATCAGTCATGTAATTTGGGTCTGATCCCCAAAGCAATGGGAACCACTGAGGGGCTGTAAGCAGAAGGGCAACATGCAGACCCACATATCAGAATTAGGATCACTGGCTGTCGGGCAGAGCCTGAATCCGAAAGGGGTCCGCGTGACCATAGGAGGCCAGCTAGGAAACTCGTAGACCAGGCCAGGGGCTGAATTAGGGAGATGGGGAGAAGTTGAGGGAGTCAAGCAATATTTATCTCAGACAAAGACATTTACAGACACATTGCTGGTGGGAATGGAGAACGCTGCAGCCCCTCTAGAAAGCAGTTTGGTGGAAAACATGCGATCATCTGATTCAGCGATTCCACTTTTCGGTCTATACCCAGGAGAATTGAAAGCAGGGTCTTTATTTGTTTTTAAATAAATTTGTTTATTTATTTTTGGCTGCGTTGGGTTTTCATTGCTGCACGCGGGCTTTCTCTAGTTGCAGCGAGCGGGGGCTACTCTTCGTTTCCATGCATGGGCTTCTCATTGAGGTGGCTTCTCTTGTGGAGCACGGGCTCTTGGCGCGCGGGCTTCAGTAGTTGCAGCACGTGGGCTCAGTAGTTGTGGCTCGCGGACTCAGTAGTTGTGGCTCTGGAGTGCAGGCTCAGTAGTTGTGGTGCATGGGCTTAGTTGCTCTGCGGCACGTGGGATCTTCCCAGACCAGGGCTCGAACCCGTGTCCCCCGCACTGGCAGGCGGATTCCTAACCACTGCACCACCAGAGAAGAAGACATTTTGACAAGTCATAGACTTCAGAAGTACTAGGGGTATATGGAAAATAAAGATAGAAAAACCTGGATAAATAAGAACCCGTGTCCCCCGCACTGGCAGGCGGATTCCTAACCACTGCACCACCAGAGAAGTCCCAAAAGCAGGGTCTTGAAATGACATTTGTACACTCACGTTCATAGCAGCGTTATTCACAATATCCAAAAGATGGAAACAAGGCAAGGGTCCACCAACATGTCCGATGGGACGTTATTTAGCCTTAAAAACAAAGGAAATTCTGACACCTGCTACAACGTGGATGAATCCTGGAGACATGGGGCTAAGAGAAATCAACTGGTCACGAAAAGAGAGATCCTGTATGATTCCGCTTTTGTGGGGTCCCTAGGAGAGTCAAGTTCATAGAGACAAAAAGTAGAAGGGTGGTTACTTCCCAGAGGGGCAGGGAATGAATGGGGAGTGAGTGTTTAATGGGGACAGAGCTTCCGTTTTGCAAGATGAAAAAGTTTTGGAGATGACGATGGTGATGGCTGCACAATAATGTGAATGTACTTGACACTACCGAACTGTACACTTAAAATAGTTAAGATCATAAATTTTGTGTTACGTGTCTTTTACCACAATTTCTTCTTTAAAGAGAGAGATTTACATAAAACCTCCAAAGTTCTTTCCTCTGGCTCATCTGGGGTGACTTCTCTCTTGTTCATGACAGGTCTGTTTGAGAACAAGAGGGATATATGTGCTTCCACGACCCTCAGGCTTGACGATAGTAAAAGTGAAGACTTCTGCGCAGACTGACGGACCTGGACAGTTCTTTTCCTGACCAGCAAGAACCTGTACGTGACAATGGCAGGAGCTCCCAGGGCTGACTCACGATGACCCTGCAATCCTAGACACCCACTGAACCTTGCAATTCCTTTCCTCTTAAACAGCAAGCCTTCGATACACTGACAGCTTCAACAGAGAGGGCCAGAAAATGGGGCAATAAAAAGCCATTATAGAACCAGAATCGGAGAAAGTGAATTCTTCTCACACTCTCTCCGGGTCTAGAGGGCCTGCTAATGCTGCCTCACGATGCATTCGCTCAAAAAAGGAAAAAGAAAAAAATTGCGAGGGAGAACCCAGTCAACTGCTGGGAGCCCACGACACCCAGGCTCTTACCCTGATGCAAGCCTCTGGAGCTTGCCGCAGGAACAAAAAGGAACAGAATTAACTACAAGACACTAAACCGTTTACAAGAAAAACACACCGTATTGGGGGGTGACGATGAAGGCCATGTTAAAAAGAGGCTGTGAAATATCTGGAGAAACAATCCATTAAAAACAAACACACGTGGGACTTCCCTGGTGGCGCAGTGGTTAGGAATCCGCCTGCCAATGCAGGGGACACAGGTTCGAGCCCTGGTGCAGGAAGATCCCACATGCCGCAGAGCAACTAAGCCCGTGCACCACAACTACTGAGCCTGTGCTCTAGAGCCCTCGAACCACAACTATTGAGCCCGTGCTCCGCAGCAAGAGAAGCCACCGCAATGAGAAGCCCGCGCACCACAACGAAGAGTAGCCCCCGCTCGCCGCAACTAGAGAAAGTCCGTGTGCGGCAACAAAGACCCAACACAGCCCCCACCCCCAAAAGATAATTAAAGTCTTAAAAACAAAACAAAACAAAAACACATGAACAGATCCTTCACTAAAGATATAGGCGTGAAAGACAAGCCCAGGAAAAGATGCTCAACATCATTCATTGTTAGGAAGCAGGATAAAACCGCGCTGGGATTTCTGTGAAAATTGATGAGAAGGTCTGGAGTTCTCCCACATGGCTCGCAGAATTCAAGACGGTACTGCCACTTTGGAAAAGTCTGGCAGTTTCTTATACAGTTCAACTGCCTTACCGAATGACCTGCAATCCCATCACTAGCTATTTATCCAAGTGAAATGAAAACTTGTGTGGACACAAAAACTTGTACATGATTATCTGTAGTGGCTTTTTTCCTAAAGACCCCAAACTCGACAACCCAACAATCCAAACGCACCTCACTTGGGGAGTGGAAAACAAACGTAGGCACAACCGTACGACAGAACATCATGCAGCACTGAAAAGGAGCAAAGGACGCATACGTAGAACAACGCGGAGGACCCCAAGTGCATCCTGCATGCTTTCATCTGTAGGACATTCTGGAAAAAAGCAAAACTGTAGAGGCAGAAACAGATGAGTGATTCCAGGGGCTGGAGGTCTGGGGAGAGGCTAGCTACAAAATGACACGTGGGAATCCTGGGTGGGAGGTGATGGTTGTGGTGGTGATTATATGACCCCACGTATTTGTCAAAAGTAGCAGAACTGTACCCAAAAAAGTGAATTTTACTCCATGTACCTTTTACTCTATGTACATTTAAAATTAAAAAATATATATATATATGTATATACATCTCTAGAGAGTTTGTGATTATAGACCCAAAACAAGGATTAAGGGCCATATCGTCCAATTCAGAAGCCGCTAGTCACATCTGGCTATCTACACTTATACTCTAACGAAAATGAAATAAAATGAAACCCTTCCTTGTGAAACGTGGCACGAGCCACATTTCAAGAGCTGGATCTGGAGACCCACGTGGCTAATGGCTGCTGTACTGAACAGCGCAGAGGAAGAAAGTTCCCATAACTGCAGAAAGTTCTGGACTGTGCTGCTCTGGGGGCGGGGTGTGGCTGGGCTGCCTCTGCTCTCTCCTCCCTTCATCCTCCAAAGTCAGGGAATCACGCCAACATGCTCTGGGCAGAGCCGTACAAGACCTCCGCAAAAAGCGCCGATGGGGTCACCCTCCTGGCTTGAGCCGAAGGGGTCCTCGCTTGGCCTGCTGTTCCCCATCACAAGACAGGGGCCCGGTGGAAACCCCTCCACCTAGTTAGTCCTGGCTGGGCCTGAAGGTGGGCAGATGGGGCTGAGAAGCCTCAGAATCTGAAAGCGGCGGGTCCACACTCACAGCTTCGAGG